TTATTCCTTATGCCTAGATTGTTTTTTATTTTCTTCGTTTTACACAACATAGACACACACACACGCGCACACACACACACACACACACATACACACACACACCCACACAAATATTTACATCCACACGCATCGACATGCACACAAACAAACAAACAGACACAGGCGATGTGATAAACATAAATACACACACAAATATAAAACACATGCGCACAGACACACAAGCATACAGTCCACACATAAACACACACACATACATGCAAACTTACAAACACTCTTAAATACACATAAATTCACAAGCATGCAGATACGATTTTACGATAATGCACCTCTAATTTGGACGGGAGTGCATATAAACTTACTGTAAATATGCTGCTGCTGAAGATTTGGGTACTGCCCAACTTCAAAACGAGGACGAGCTGCTGCCGCTGCTGATGCTTGATACGCACTTAAACGACGCTGCTGCAATCGCTAAAAAACCTTGAAGCCATTAGCTTCTTAAAGTACAGTTAACAGTCCGTACGGACTTATTTCTTCATTTATATGACAAATTCTACACAGCTAGGCAGCATACTCTCTTCCGAAAATATCATTGAGAAGCAACTTAAGGGGAGTTTTTCCCCCATCGCATGCTGGAAATTTGTTTGCAGAGCAACTCTACAGTTCAGTTAGCGGTCAGAGCGGTTCACTTACTTGGAAGGCGGGAAAAAAAGGGGGAACGGAGGCGGAGGGAAGGGGGGGGGGGCGAAGCACAGCTAATAATTCAGACAGCGAGGAGATTGGACAAGCCGAAGGAGAGAAGAATTGGACACTAGATAGTTCACTAGGTTTTACCGCCAGAACGATCCAAACACTTTCTTTCCTACCAGAGTACTTTTGAAAATGTAATAAGCAAACCGCTCGAAGTGGATTTTCCTCATCCATATCGACCAGTGTGTACAGGAATGGTTCGTCGTCCAGTTGTGCAGTCGAGAAATCGATGAGGACTTCGCCCATGAACGAATTTGTTTCGTACTGATCGTAGTCCCACACAGTGACCTAAGGGATATATATAA